GTGGGTTCCATCTTTCCTTAATCACTTCTTTTGATTCATTTGGTACAATTCACTTGACTCTTTGAGTCATTTCACCTCTTTCCAAGGGGTTAGAGAGAATAATTGTCACTCTTTCTTATGCATTTCAATTCTTTTCTCCTTTTTCAACTTTCCACACCTTTCTTTCTTTTATTTTTCTTGAATCCCTTTTTATTCTTTCTCACATTGAGCATTCTTTTTGTCTTTTTGCTTTTCTTTCTTTTTTTTTCTTTTTTTTTCATTGCCTTTCCTTTTCTTCATTCTTGTGACTTATACCACTTTATTGTCATCCTCGTCTCTCCCCCCAAACTTATACTTTTGCCATGTGCTCAAGGAAAGATCGGGTGCCAAGAGAGGGTATCTTTCAGAACGGGTATAAGCTTGTAACATGGTTCTTGAAAGAAAAAGGTCTAAGGCTCAAAAGGGTTAATTAGGGATCATATCATTGGTAGGCTATGGAATTTGTTCAACTATCATTTAGATCAAGGAGAGCCTATAATCACTTCCCAAGTCAAATTTCACTTAAGATTTCGCCTAAACAAACATTCAGGGCAAGTTCTAGACCAATGGCTCGGGACTTGGACTCGCAATTCGATTTCTCACCACACAAGCTAGGGGATTGCTAAAGACATAGAGTCGGGGGCCCACGACAACCTTAGATACGATTTTAGCACACAATGGTCCCGAAAAACCACTTGATGATTATCGGCCAACGCAAGAGTCTCAAGGCCACAACTTTCACCATCCTAAACACAACATTTTTTTTTTGACCATGGGATCAAAGGCAAATGTGCTAGGCCCAAGTGAAGCTTTGCTTGAGGTACCCTTAACTATAAATTACCAAAAATAAAAACAAAAACGGACTCAAACCCTTAAAAGGTTGTCACGCCATCTATCATTGGGAAGAGCCACCCGGTTCACACAATACTTCACCTTTGGAAAGAACCGTGGCATGAAGAAAACCAAAGGCTTATTGAAAGCGCAAAAAAAACGAAACAAAAAGCTACGAGCCTATATAAGAAGCTAAAAACAAAATTTTTTGCGAAAATAGAAAATAGAATGAATATGTACAATAGGGGAATGAATATATAACGGGGGATGAGTATATAAAATAATGTAACTTCATATACAGACCAAAAGGAAGATAAAAAGTACGATAAAAGTAACTAAATGTAAAGTTATATACAGACCAACAGAAAATCAAAAGAAAGCATAAACTCAATCAATCTATATATACAGTCATCTAATAGATAAAATGTAGGGCGCACCCCCTCAAATAAAAGCTGGCATTGTCCCCAATGCCAACTAGACAAATAAGCACCAAAAAGTATAAGGAAAGGATATGGGAACTCCCTAAGCCTCGTCAGTCTGCATGGGAACATGAGTGGTCCCCGGGTCCTTTGTATGCGCGGGAACCTCAGACTGGTTCCCGGTCTCCTGCTGCTCAGCTGCTGGGACTGGGGCCTGGACCTGGACGGGCTGAATATCAGGAACATCCTGTGGCTGACTGGAAGAAACCTCCGGTGGGTCCGCCAACTGGATGATCGCCTCATCTGTACTAGGGAGCTTCCTCTTCTTCCTAGGAAGCCTCTGTGTCTGGTCTTGCTATGGCTCTGCTGCTGGTACTGCTGCTGGAGCTGGATCCTCAAATAGCAAGTCTAAAGGCAGCTGGTCTGCCTTCAGCTTGTCCATATCTGCTCTAAGTTCCTTCTCAGACTCCTTAGAAGCCCGTGTTTTGTGCAGTTTCCTGTGCTCCCTGGCAAACTCCTTCAGAGCGTTGCAGTGTGAATCCACTGCCTTAGACAAGGCACCCTGAGTACTGATGATCTTTTCCTGGTTCTCCAGGATCTTCTTCAATGCATCCTCAATGGACTGTGGAATCTGTGCTGGCTGTGGTGCTGACTGAGCCGCAATGGTAGAAGACAGCGTAGACAACTTGGATGACGCAACTGACATCCAGTTGTTCAAGCTATGAAGTGTCTGACTCAGGTGGTGGGCAGTGATAGGATGGGCCCGGGAAGATGGAATTCCCGGGCCAGCTGAAGTAGAGGGAC